CCCACCCTCTGCTGTTTTATTGACACCTCCCCAAAGTTCTCTCTCCCCCCCCCTTCCCCCTCTCCCCTTCCCCCCTCTCCCATCCCCCCCAGCCATCTCCCTCTCCCAATAGCCAAAGGAGACGGGGCGGGAAGGGAAGGGGGGGATTGAAAATGTTTTATTACCTCTGAGTGGTTGTTTGGGATCTGTCAGAGGAAGGCGAGCCGCGGCAAGAGCGCGCCACGAAGGCAAAGACAGGAGCCAAGGAAGGCGGCGGAAAGGTGAGCGGCGCGATCGCCCCCCCCCCCACAAAAAAAAGGGAAAGCGGGGGAAAATAGAGAAGAGCCAAACCGAAGAGGGGAAAAAAGGGAGGATCTGCCCAGCCAGCCGCAGAGGGAGCGCCCGGCCCGCCTTGAGGAAGGGGGGGAAGAAAAAGAAGAAGGAGGAAGAGGGAAAAAAAGAGGAGACATTTTTCTACATGTCCGAAGGTCGGGGAGATTTTCTCCGCAGGCGACCCATCAAACCAGAACTGAAGGAAGAGGCGGCACCGCTTTCTCTCTTGGGATCCAGCGATCGCGTCCGGAAGGAGCGCAGGATCTCCCAGAACCCGAGAAGGATCTCTCCAGCCGCGGAGGAGCGAAGCGGAGCCGAGCAGAGCTCGTCCGCCCGAGGCTCGGCGCCTTCGACGGGGCTGATTGACGCGCTCCATCCGCCAGCCCGCTTCCTTCTTGCCGCGCCGGGTGAAGGCGGTTTTGCTTCCCGGGGGATTTGGCTCTGGTGCCCGTTGGCCGAGCGGCTGGCGAGGGAGAGGGCCGGCCGACCCGCCCTTCGACCAGAAAGGGGCTAGAGAAGAGCCCGTAAGAAAGAAGCCGCAGGGCGGGTTTGACTCTTCCCGCCGTCCTTTGATTCCCGCCGGCAGGCTTCGCCTGGAAGCTCGGATCCCACCACGAACAATTCCCGCCCCTCCGGTGCTCCACTTCTTTGAGGGCAGCCGGCCAAAGTTTGGAGAAGTTTCCCCCGCTTTATTTTGGGGGGGGGGCACACTCCCGGACTAGTGCCTCCCTCTAAGGATCGCCCGAAGAACCCTTTCTCCTCTCTCCCGACCCGCTTCCAACCCTTTCAGGATCCTTTCCCGGTTTCGATCCTCGCTTTTTCCAATATAAAGAGAGGCTTTGGAAAGGCATCCCCGAGCCAGAAGAGGCCGACTCGCTTCTCCAGCCCTGCGCGACACCGTCTCGGCTGGGAACGGCGCCCTTCCCACGTTCCTTAAACTCCAGGCAGGCGGGCCTTTTATATCCCGACGCCTCTGCTTCAGTCTAAGAGAAGCCAAGGAGAAACTGGGCGCTTTCTCTCCCCCCCTCCCAAGCCTGGAAAGTATATACCACTTTCCCTTTTAATGCTGGCCTCCTAAATCCAGTTAGTCTTTCCCTCTCTCTCTCCCTCCCTCCATCCTCCGACAGCTCAGCACTCCCCCCAGCAGAACACATACCTCTCCCCCAATTGACTCCCACCCCACTTTCCTATATCCCCCTCACCCCCCATCTCTGCCTCTTTTGGGGGTGGAAACCTCCCTTCGCGCCTAGTCCGCAGGAGAAACCCGCTTCTCCCCGTCCAAAGAAGGCTCGGCTGATTCTCCGAAGAGGGAAGACCCCGTGGGCTCCAGCCGCCCTGCCCGGCTTCCCGTCCCGGGGATGCTGGCGGTGGGGCCGATGGATGGCACCCCCCGGCAGAGCGCCTTCCTGCTCAGCAGCCCGCCGCTGGCCGCCCTGCACAGCATGGCCGAGATGAAGACGCCGCTCTACTCAGCTGCCGCCGCCGCCGCCGCCTACCAGCTGCCGCCCCCGGCCGCTTCTGCAGCCAGCGGACTTTCCTCCCTCTCCTCGGCTCCTTCCTCGTCGTCTTCCTCCTCCTCCTCCTCCTCGGCGTCCGCCTCGCCTTCCCCTCCGCTAGGCTCGCCCACCGGGCTCAAGGCTCACGGCGCGGGGGCTCTGTCGGCGCTGGGCTCGCCCCCGCAGCAGCACTCGGCCGCCACCCCGCACGGCATCAACGACATCTTGAGCCGGCCGTCCATGCCGCTTCTGGCCGCCGCCTCCTCCTCCTCCTCCTCTTCCTCCTCCGCCTCGCCGGCCGCCGGGCTCCTGGCGGGCCTGCCCCGTTTCAGCAGCCTCAGCCCGCCGCCCCCGCCGCCCCCGGGCCTCTACTTCAGCCCCAGCGCTGCTGCAGCCGCCGTAGCCGCCGTGGGGAGGTACCCCAAGCCTTTGGCCGAACTGCCCGGCAGGACGCCCATCTTCTGGCCGGGGGTCATGCAGAGCCCCCCTTGGAGGGACGCCCGCCTCGCCTGCTCGCCCCGTAAGTATCACTCCGGCGCGGCCCTCAAGCCCCCAGCCTCCTTCCCTCCCTGGCTTTCCAAGCCTTGGCCGTCAAATCTGGATGCCTTTCGGGACGCGAGAGCGCCGCAAGGCCCGTCTCCTGGCTGAGAAGGCTGAGAGCTCCAGCACAGGAAGGCTGAACCGCTTTAACCGGCTCTTGCTTCGGTCGGTTCTTGCCTATTTTTTTAAACCTCCAGGCTGTATAAGGCCGATGGCGTCGAGGTGCGTCTCCCCCCCCTCCCACGATTCATGATTGTGCTACCCCAATTCTGTAGGGAAGAAGACCCCCCCTCAGATTCTACTTTTGCTGCTCTCATTGGACAATGGACCCCCTACCCCACATCTGCTCTTCTGCCCAGCTGTGCCTTCCTTACCAAATCCTATTCCCTGGTCCGAAGAACCTGGGCTGGATAGGGAGGTCGTGAGTCTCTCTCTTCCCCCCTTGCATCCCCTCCCTTTCCGAACCCCGTAGAGCAGGGGTCTCCTACCTTGGCCGCTTTAAGCCTGGCGGGGAATTCTGGGAGTTGAAGTCCGCTAGGCTTAAAGTGGTCAAGGTGAGAGGCCCCTGCCGTAGAGGACTGGTGCCCTCCAGCTGCTTTGGACCACAACTCCCACAATTCCTTGCCCTGGTCTGCCGGGGAGCTAATGGGAGTTCCCTGCCCCACCGCTGGAGGGCAGCCGCATCGCACTCTCCGCCCTGTGCTACTTTTGCTTGTTTCCAAGTTGAAAGCGGGGCTGTCTGAGGAGCCCAGGCCGACAATCCAGGACTGGCATTCGCTCTAGAGCCTTTGCCCTCCTCTGGCTTTGACCTGCTGCCCTCTCTCCGGATGGGTTGGGTTATTGAAGGGGGTTTGAATGGGAGTTGTAGTCCCAGCCACCCTAGGCTGGGAAGAGTCTCTGCTTTGAGTAGCGCCCAACCCTTCAGGGAAGAAGCGTGGCAAACCTCGCGAAAAGAAAGAGGCGCTCTGCGAAGTGAACCTCCGAGTCACTCATTCACACGTGAGAGCAACTGGGGGACAAGGCGCTTCCAAAGAATCGCGTCTTTTAAAGTTGGGCGCTAGACCCGGAAACCCCCCCCCCTATTTCCCCTCTTGCTTTTTTCTTTGACCCCCCTGGGAAACTCCTAGGGCTGATGCTTTATTTAGCCACGGAGCTGCTCCCTCGATTCTTGCGGCTTCTCGGCCAACCCTTGCCCGGGGGAGGCCGGCCCAGTTCTCCCTTGTCGTTTCTTAAGCTCAGCTTCTTTTCCTCTCGCCCAAAAGAGCCAGTCTCAAGTCCCAAACTCTTCCACCCACACTTGGAGAAAAACAAATTGGTCCTTTTCTGGCTACTGAGGTTCGAGAGGTTTATACCCCGCTTTCCCACGCACCCTCGCCCCACGAAAGTATATCCAAGGGGAGAGGGGACGACGCACCGAACCCGGCAGCCCCGTCCCTTCCGTGGGAGAGCGGGAGCCCCGTTCGGAAGGCAGCTTCTTTGAAATTCGTGGGGTTCATTCTTGAGTGAACTTGGTTACGGTGGCTTGCTAAGAAGGCCGGCCGCCGTGGCGCTTTTGTTCTCGCTTCCTTTTTAAAAGCCTTTATCTTGGGGGGGGGGGCAGTTGAAGGGGAAAAGAGACCCCCAGTGCAATATCTTCTTTGCCTCTAGCAAAAGAACTTTCAGTACTAATTGGAATTTAGACGTCCGTTTCAGTCGAGGTGCCAAATGCTAGTAATGGATCTGGCTCTGTCTTCAGTATAGATAGATCATTTTCCTTTCCTTTCCTTTCCTTTCCTTTCCTTTCCTTTCCTTTCCTTTCCTTTCCTTTCCTTTCCTTTCTTTTCCTTTTCTTTCATTTCCTCTCCTTCTCCTTCCTTTCCTTTCCTCTCTTCACCTCCTCCTTCCTTTCCTTTCTTTTCCTCTCCTTCTCCTTCCTTTCATTTCCTTCCCTCCTCCTTCCTTTCCTTTCCTCTCCTCTCTTCCTCTTCTCCTTCCTTTCATTTCCTCCCTTTCTCCTTCCTTTCCTCTCCTCTCCTCCCTTTCTCCTCCTTTTCCTTTCCTCCCTTTCTCCTTCCTTTCATTTCCTTTCCCTTCCCCTTCCTTCGTTCCCTGCCTTAGTTCCCTGCCTTATGTCCTTAATCTAGCCGTGTAATGTATTTTTTTTTTAATCTCCAACTTCTCAAACCCTGAATGCCAAAAACAAAAACAGGAGGTTTCTAGTAGCGCTTTTTCCAACTCTTGCGAACTTGTTACTCGGAAAAGGTGTTTCCGGATATCTTCTGTTTTCGTTTGTGTGTGTGTGTGTGTGTGTGTGTGTGTGTGTGTGTGTGTTTTGTGGTTGCTCTTGTTGTTGTTTTGCTCCCCAGACCAGACGAGTTGAAGCGGCTCTTGGTCCAGCCAAGAAGCGAGGCCCCAAACCCGTCACTGCTGTTTCACAAACGGCGCCGGTTGCTACAATTTCCGAGTAATGCTGAAATTTCCCTTTTTTCCCGTTGAGCAAACGCAGCGCTGGGCGGAATATATACATCATTTTTCTTACCCTTTGAGAGATTCTGTGCGAACTCTGTGCGGTATCTCCGACTTCTATTATGTCCCTTACGTGGCATTTCCCTCCCTTTTTTCCTTTCTCCCCATCCCCTTAGATCAAGGCTCCATTTTACTGGATAAAGACGGCAAAAGGAAACACACGAGGCCGACGTTTTCCGGCCAACAGATCTTTGCTTTGGAAAAAACTTTTGAGCAAACCAAGTACTTAGCTGGGCCGGAGAGGGCGAGGCTCGCCTATTCGCTGGGAATGACGGAGAGTCAAGTCAAGGTGAGCGGTTGTTGCGGGCAAGGCAAAAAAAAGAAAGAAAGAAAGAAAAAGAGATGGTCCCGATTCAGACGACGGCCCGGGCAGCCAAGGTGGCTTATGGCCGTTCACAAACCGGGGGAGTTGGGCGCCCTTTAGTCCTGGGGCAAAAACCAAAGGGGACCGCGCTCTTGTCGAATCGGGGGTTCATGATAAAGAAAATTTAAAGTCCCGTTCGTGATTTCTTGTACAAAACACCTTAGGCAAAATAGCGATTATATATATTCAGCTATTCATATATATATAGCTATTCAGCTCTTCCTGTTTTTAACTCACTTCCCCAAACTGTCTCGAAATTAATGGGAAAAGGAATAAATATACTAAAGAGTTCCCCACCCCCACAAACACACACACAGACACACACACCTGACCGTTCCTTCTGTCCCGGTTTGAATCAACGGGATTTAAGCGTTGTGAGAACGAATGGCTGGTAAATAGCTTTATGGATCTGTGTTGATGAACTAAAAGTACGTTCAAAATCTGCAAGATTGGTTAAATGAAGATTGAAAGCATTTACTAACCCTCTGGTAAACTCGGCCCCATTGTCAAGTAAAAGAGGGTGAGGGGCTTAGGGCAGCTTAAAAAAAAAATCACGGTGTTAAAAGTAAGTTCCAGAAGGGTATCTGGGTGTGTAAATAGAACTATTTTGCGGCACTAATTAGGTGCAGGTGTGAACGAGTGACCCTCCAATCCTATGCACCCCCACATATCTAGGGCAATCCTAAGATCTCCTATGCCTTTTAAAAAGTTGAGAAGATCTAGCACATTTAAGTCCTCTGCCCAGCGTTCCCAGACTGGGTTCTTTCTCATTCTCTCTCTTTCTCTCTCTACTGGCCCATTGAAGTCAATAACTCAGAACTGGAATAAGCCTAAGTAAAATTTGGAATTGTGCTTTAATTGATTCTTGTGGTGTCTGGGATGAAAAGTACCCACTCTATCCGATCCCTTCAAAGGCTTAGCCATTGCTTGGGTGGTCTCCCTTCTCTATGTAGATGCTCCCCACCATCTCCCAACCTTGAAGGGGACCCACTTCTTATGACTTGTGAACTGGGTTGTCTTGTGAACTGGGACAGTCAAGGCCAACTCTGCCAGAGGCCCAACTTGTGCATTATTAGAGAAGTGTATTTGACAATGTGTCTCTGCATTCAAGACCTAACTCTTCTCACCCGTTCAATGCCTTTAGAATCCCCCATCTGTTGCACAGGAAGATAAATGTATTTGAATTCAGTAAAGCCTAAAGGTTGGTGGATTAAAATCCACCCACCTTATAGTTGAGCAAGAACATTCTACTTCCTTAAAGCTGAAGTCACGATAAACAGAACCGTTTTAAGATGCCCTTGGAAACCATTATTTTCCTTGCTAGTAGTGGGGGGGGGGGGGGGGGGGTTTCTATAACTCAGTGTGCTTCAAGGTTTGTTATTGTTTCAATTGTTCATTCATACTGCTGGGATTTCACAAAAGCAGAATTAAAGCCAACTTTTCTGTACAATTATGGGCATGCATATATCTCTCTCTCTCTCCCTCTCTCTCTCCCTCTCTCTCTCTCTCTCTCACACACACACACACACACTCTCACTCACTCACTCACTCACACACACACACATTGTGGAGCAAATTCAGACATTTTTGGAAGAACATTTCCTGTTGTGTTTTCCATATGTGGAAATGAATCTTATCAAACTCATCACAAATCTTTATTTCTGGGTGGGCAAAACTTTACCTTACATTGACTCTAGCGAGGAGCTAAACCTAACTAATCATTTCCCCTCCCCCTTTATAATTCCTTTATAGGTCTGTATAAAACATAGACTGTTATAGCTGCCCTCCTGTATATTCATGTGAATATATATAAGGTACAATGGAATCATTTCTGAGCAGACCAATATAGGTTCGCACTGGAAAGTTGCGAATTAAATCTTTTTTTTTCATTTATTTGGAGGGAATCATTAAAAAAAAACTTCTAGGTAACTGTGGGAAATAGATGCAAATTGGAGGGATAGAAAATAAAGCTTAACAAGTCCAGATCTCTGTCCGTTCACCTGTTTCTATACTTTATTAAAAAAAAAAACCAGTTCTGATCATATACTCACTTTTCAGATAGTAAGTCAGAGAGCCGATCTTCCTGGTAGGATTGTACTGAGCATAAAAGTGCAAATGGGGCTCTTTGGATTAGGTACTTCTGCTTGTGGGTGTTTTCGTTTTGCACGTGGGAACTCTTGCAAGAGCCTTGTAACTGTTTGAACAAGAAGGACCTTTTCTCTGGGTGAGAAGAATTCAATGAAGCATAGAGGTCGATCTAATTTGGTGGTTGCTCAGTTCCTTGAATTGGTTTCAGCAGAAAATGAAATCTTGTCTGATGGAGCAACTTGGAATGTTATAAGAATAGCACATCTTTTCTTTCTTTCTTTTTCTTTCTTTCTTTCTTTCTTTCTTTTCTCTTTCTCTTTCTCTTTCTTTCTCCTGCCTTCCTTCTTTCCTTCCTTCCATCCATCCATCCATTCATGAAACCAATGAATCTTTTTACACGCTGTTTCTTTCTGGGTATTCAAATGGATGAAGTGGGGGGAGGGGAGGGGACAGGAGGGGAGGGAAAACCTCCCTTTTTACAGATTGTCACTTTATTCCAAAAGTTATCCAGAGACCCTCATTTGTCACTGCAAATATGTGGGAAAGGCTTTGAATAAATGACTGCTTTTTCCACCGATAGCAACATGCCTCGCCATTTAGTGCAGTGTGTTTGAGGAGGTGGGGGTGTTTTTTTTTTTAAAGGGTGCATTGTGAATCAGATGTTAATTTGCCCCACGTTTGAACAAAACCGTCTGGTCCAGAATGGGAAACGAAGGTTTCATGTGTGTTTTGTTTCTTAAGTCCACCAAAGCGGAAAACGCTACGCTTTTTGTTAGACGGGGCTCTGTTTACTCGGAGTAAGTCCCGTCGCAGTGAAGGAGGTTTACCAAGGAGCAGGAAACTTTAGTCTTGTCTTGACATTTGGTCAACACTTTCCAAACCAGCTCCGAAAAAGTTTGGCGCTGAGCTTATTTACGCCGCCTTGATTTCAGCAAGAATGAAGGGCAGTCAGCCCTGATTTGGTTCTAATTTTTTTAAAAACATAATCTTCAGAAATAAAATTTGGCCCTCCTCCACTGCCGGTAGCAAGTTTTTGTCTTTCAACAATAAATACTGTTTTCTGAATTTATCTTTATCCTGCGGTATAAGAATACATGGAGCTGGCCTGTAATAATACATGAAGAAATAACAAATTAAACCCCTCAAAAAGGACGTGTAAAAATAAAACGCAAAAACACAGCGTATGTCTATGTGGAACAGAACCTCGTTATATTCGATATGGTTTTCTGCTCCAAGTCTCTGGTTTTGTGCGTTTCTTCCGGACAATAAATAGCTTTTCCTTCTACTGGGTTTCCTCCCGAGTAAACAGCATCGCTTCTAGCTTCAAGCAGCCTCTAAAGTTGCACTAGACTTCCTGATATTGGATGCCGTTTGTCCTAAAATGGAAAACAAGGGCTGTCTCCCTGCATCGCCTTAAACCGTTGCTTAACGCTGAATAAACGGTCGAGGCTCAAAGCAGGAAAAAAAAGCAGCAAATTGCAACAAAGCGCGCGCCGGTTTACTTAGCGCGGAGTGCGTATGCAACCGGTTGACTTTATAGTGTGCAAATGTATTCATCTAATTTCGAAGGCATAAGGATGGGGGCGGGAAGGAGAGTAGCAACTTGTTTGTTTCCATCCCGTTCTGCTTGTCTGGTCTTCCCCCCTCCGGCCATCTGGCACTTTTGACTTAACCAACGCGAGGCTTCCACTTTCAATTGACTCCGAGGTGAGGAAGCAAGAATAAATAGAAGAAGATGCGTCCAGAGATCAGGGAAGGAAAGCGGGAGGAAAAATGGCGAGGGAGGGGGGGGGGTTCCTCGAATCAGAGGCAGGGAAGAGCAGGAAGGAGAGAAAGAAGAAAGGAAAGAAGGACAGGTTGCAGCAGGGAGGGAAAAAAAAAAGAAGGAATCGAAAGGCGAAAGCGGTCCGGCAGTGTGTGCAAAAAGTTAACCGAGTCTCTTCGGGCTGCTGTTGTTGCCATTCTCCACACAGTGGGGCTGCTTTAATTTCCATAACTATATTGGGATTAATAATGCAAGACTTTTGTGTGTGTGTGTGTTTGTGTGTGTGCGCAGAAGGGAGATTCGCTCAGCTTCCTGGGGCTTTGGGGTTTTGAAGCATGCATGCCCTCTCCCACACTTTTCGCTGCAAAGAAAATGTAATTTTATTTCACTCCCCCTCCCTCCCTCCCACTTGATGTCAATAGCAATGTATGGTGAAACCCGAAGCACTGAAATAATTCTTAAGTCTTTTAACTGGTGAGGTTTACTCCTTCTTTACTACCTTATGTTGATCCCTTGAACCCATCCTTTGGATGGGCCCTTCCCTGTAGAAACCCAAAGCAAATACCCTTGTCTCCCTTCTGGCGAAAGGACTGCAGCCTTTAGAAACAGTCTACAGGATTGTCTGATTCACACAAAAACTGATTCACACAATCCTGTTAAAGAGGACAAAATGCCAGGAAGATACAAGATAGGTACAAGGAGTGGGGAAAGTATTGAAATTGGTGAGAGGCAAATTCATCTTTTTCTGCCTGCTTTCAATGCAGAGTTCCATGCAGGCAAGGCTCAGCCAATACTCAATCTTTGGCTCAGCTACTACTCAATCTTTACAACAGCGTGTACCCAACCACGTGCTCCCTTAACTGAGTTGGCATGCCTTTCTCCTATTATGTGTGGATGATGGGCATTGTAATGAACTCATTTGAAAGACCCTTGTGCAGGAAAGAGCCACTTGGCAGCATGGACAATAACTGTCTGAAGTTTTGGTGGAAGGGGTGAATAGAATAGAATAGAATAGAATAGAATAGAATAGAATAGAATGGAATTCTTTATTGGCCAAGTGTGATTGGACACA